TATATTTTTTAATTTTAATATATATTTTAAAATATATTTTATTGATTTTTTACAGAGAGAAGGGGAGAGGGATAGAGAGTTAGAAACATCGATGAGAGAGAGACATCGATCAGCTGCCTCCTGCACACTCCCCACTGGGTATGTGCCCACAACCAAGGTACATGCCCTTGGCCGGAATCGAACCTGGGACCATTCAGTCAGCAGGCTGATGCTCTATCCACTGAGCCAAACTGGTTAGGGCAACAGGGGATTTTTGAAGCCATTGTCTCTCAACATTCAGAGTTTCTTGAACTAGCCTCAAGGCATAATGCCTTCATAATATTTCCCCTTTGTATCTCTTGCTCTATTATTTTTCTTTAAATTCATAGACTGTTAAAATAACAGGATTTTGTGTTTTATTTATTTTAAAGTATTTTATATTATGAAGTTTTGTACAAATACACAAAAAGGTGTTAGATATAAAATAACTCACAACCCAGCTTTATCAAACCTTAATATTTTGGCACAGTTTGCTTCTGATTTTTTTAGTTGACATTTCTTCTATAAATTTGCCTCCATCTCTACCCTAAAGTTATCAGTACTTATGATTCCAATGTATGTTTTTATACTATTACTGCAGATGCATGCATCCACAAAATAACAATTTCTTTTGCAAATTTTAAACATAGATAAGTGATGCCATGCTGTATTATCCTTCTACAAGTTGCTTCCCTCCTCCTCATTAGAGTTTTGAGATTTAAACATGTTAATATAATTAACCCAAGTTTTTTAAAAAATATATATTTTATTGATTTTTTACAGAGAGAAGGGGAGAGGGATAGAGAGTTAGAAACAGCTGCCTCCTGCACGCCCTCTACTGGGGATGTGCCTGCAACCAAGGTACATGCCCTTGACCGGAATTGAACCCAGGGCCCTTTAGTCCGCAGGCCAACGCTCTATCCACTGAGCCAAACCAGTTAGGGCAATCCAAGTTTATATTCATTTGAACTGTTGTATATTATTCCACTATCTGAATATACCACAGTTTATTTAACCATCCTCCTGTTTTGGGACATTTAGATAAGTTACACTTTTTTTTTTTGCTATTATAAACAGGGCTTGACTCATTTTTCTACATAGTATCTGGAGCTCAGAGTCTGAGACTCCCCCCTGACCGAAAACGACAACCGCGCTCTCAGCCACCAGCCCGCTTTGCGCGCGCACCTCCGCACCTGAGTTTTTTCCACACTGCGCCTCCTCTGAGCCTCGGTGTGCTGTTATTTTTCCTTCTAGTTGAAGAGTCTCTCCTCAGCCAGCCTTCCTGTGGTTCTGGGTGATGTCCGTTCCGTCTTTTAGTTGTATTTTTGAAGTGGTTGTTTGCGGCAGCAGTCTGCGGTGTTTACCTATGCCGCCATCTTGGTCTCCTCTCAATAAATTTATTTTCAAGGAAACTTTGTATCACCATCATAAGTTGAAAATAGTACCACTTGTCATGAACAGAAGATAACTGTAGGAAAATTGAAATGGAAATAAATTGTTCTCCTATTCTAGTCAGACATTATATCTTAAGAAGCTCAATCCTGCGGTGTGTTCTCCCTGTTAAAAGGGGGACTGGCAAGTGTTGGGGGAAGGACTCAGCTTCAGGCAGATTTTTTTCACTGACCTAATCAGGCTAGAAAATCACTGAAATGGGAATCACTTTCTCACCATGTGACTCAGAATTGTTGAATGCTGTGATTGTGGAAACCTAAAACTCCCTTCCCTGCCCTCAGTGTTACTCATCTGCTTTTTGGGTAACACTAGATGAAGTGAAACAAAGAAGTATTAAATGCATCGCACGTGTCAGGCACTGTGTTAGACTCTAGAAGCACAAAGAGGAATAAGAAAGGGCCCTCAAGGCAGTCAAATAAAACCAACATCCTGAGACAATCAGTACTAAAAGAGCACAGGAAATGGAGAGTGGGAAAGGCTGGGTAGATGTCAGGGGAGGTTTTACACAAAGGAGGTAACATATGATTTGGAAATCTTGGAGTGGAAAGGATTTTAATTGCCAAAGAAGAGAAGGAAGGCATTCTAGGCAGAGAGCAGCTTAAGCAAAGGCATCAAAATGTGACCATAGAGAGTGCAATTGGCAGATGATAGTCTTTATATCCTCGGAGGATCACAGCCTTGGTTATGGATGTCATGGAGACAGGGAGGGGTGATGGAGACAATTAGACTGCAGAGGCAGGTGGGGGCCTGGTTAGCTTTGTAGAGGCCAATAGAGAACCATGGGAGGTTTTTAACAAAGGATTAGTCTGGTCAGATTTGTTCCAGGTGGAACAGCAACTGTCCCAAGCTGTTAGCCAGAAGTGTTCCCAAGTGTTGAGCAATGATGCTGCATATTGGGCTCATGTTTGTTGAGTGGTGTCACCTGGAAGGTTGGGCTCATATGATCTCTAAGAGGGACTTCCCGGGAAGTCAGACTACTGAGTCATATACCCCAGCTAGTCAGGCTCATTTGCTTTCACTAGCTGGGCAGAGCCCACTGAATGGCCACCTCCCTGGGCCTCTACTCAAGACTCCAATACTGGCCTACAGTATAAAGGACCCTCAGGCCCTCATGGAGAACCCGAATCCCTCTTGAGTACCTTTCCAGTCTCAAACTGCTCCTCCCATCCCCACTGCCTGGCAGCCTTTGATTCCGGAACCCTCCTGACAGCCCTGAGGGTTCCACCATGGGCAGGCAAGGCAGGCTCCACTGCTGCCCTCCTACAGTCAGCTGCAAAGCCATGCTGAGGTGACAGCTGGATGAGGGGGCCTCCTTGGGCAGGGCTCCATGCCATGACCGCCCGTCCAGGCAGGCCCCTCAGTTCATGCTATCTGGGCTCCCACAGGCCCTAGTTCTTAGAAAACTCCCAGGGAATGCAGTCTGTTTCCCTTTGAAGACTTCCTGGGCCTTTATCAAAGCTGCTAATTGCACATTTGCCCAATATGCAGCATCATTGCCCAACCAGGGGTAGTGACTTACAAATTGGTGGGTAGTTGCCCCCTTCTACCAGGGTATCCATTCAGAAACCCTGGGTATGAGAACTAGCTCCCTCCCCAGAACCCGGTGCCTGGGCCCTGCTGGGGAGGAGGCCATCAGGGAGCCAGGAAGCTGCTGAAGGCTTCGAGGTGGCCGGAATGGCACAGCCCTGGGCTGGGGGGACATTCTGGGAGCTCCCTGGGAGGTTGGGCCAAAGGGCCAGGAATGAACCTCAGCTTTTCCAAGCCATAGGAATTTATTTGGAATGTTTTGGAAGGTTCCAAAACCACGCAAGCCTTGGGGTCCACTCAAACGTCAAACAAATTCCTAAGTGGGAGCAGATGCTCACCATGCTGGCCACAGAGGTCACAGGAATGGCCCCCTGCTCTGTCCCTCGCCTTGACCCTCCAGCTCTGTGCCTCGGCCACCACACTCACCCTGAGTTCCAGTGAGTGCTCGGTAGACACTCTGATGCTAATGATGGGGCCCAGGAAGCCAGGCCCAGGCCCACCCTGAGCCAAGGAGTCAGGCTCCCAGAGGTCTTCTCCGGGAAGAGCCTCGCATCTGGGTCTTTAGACGGAGAGTCAGGGCTGGTGACACCTGCTGGTGCTGCAGGGGGCCTTCACTGAAAGCACAGTTCGGGCGAGTTGGCTGAGTGTCCCAGTGGTCAGTGCAGGCCAGTGTTTCCTATGGGTGGCCCCAGGGCCAGCACCAAAGAGGAGCTGGGAGAAGGACGGTGTCCCATAAAGTAAGTCCCATCAGCCTGCCCGAGTTAAAACAGAGTGCTCCTTAAGCAGAGACTGCTTAACCCCAGTCCCCAGCCCCACCTTCCTAGCAGCTGGCCCCCTCACAAGCCCGACTTACACAGAAATGCTAGAGCCCCGTGCTCAGTCTTACTGTGTAAGCCTGCCCGCGGGCCAAGGCTCCTCCCAGTGTGATTTGTGGGCAGGTGATGCATATGTATGTCCTTCAGACAGTTCTGTGTGTGTCTTCCTGCTCCCCTTAGATTGTCAGCATTTGTGGGGCGAGGACTGTGGTGCTTGTTTTTTGGTGAGAGGCAATGTGAAGTCGGAGCGTGACTTAGAGTTGGGCCAACTCAGGTTGGAATCTGGCTCTGGCTCTCACTTACTGTTTAGCCCTGGCAGGTGACTGAACCTCTCTGGCCTTGCTTTTTGATCATCTTCATGATCACTGTCATTACTGACCAGGGGGCTCTGGGTTGTACAGATGGAGAGAGTGAGGTTCCCCAACGTCAAGCAGAGAATGACAGTCAGGGTTTAGTATTAGATCTGCAGGATCCCAAAGTGCCTGCCCCTCCCTAGATAAGGGGGGCAGTCTGCACAGCCTGATTGGTTCTGCAGAGGGCAGGACCAATAGCGGGGCTGTGTGAATAGTCCCTCTCTGAGCATCCTTATACCTGACCCCGTTTTGGTAACTCCACAGGAGGAACGTCTGCGGGGGAAAGTGCTGCCCGGGATGGACAACGGCAAACAGCACCAACCACTGTATCAAACGTGAGTGCCTCCTCCCCACCCGCCCCCCTTCCCTCTCCTTCGAGCAGGGGGCTCCAGACCTGGTGTGTCTTCCCCAGTGGAGCTCCTGGGAGTAGAGGCAACGTGCCCTGGAAGGGAGGAGATTATAAAATGCCTCAGGCTGAAAACAACTTCTCAAATAAAAGCCCCACTTATGTTTTTTAAGCTTCCTACATGTCCTTCCTGCTGTCCCACTGTGTGCCCACCCCCTTGTGGTTTTAGGATGTGGCTGGCCCCAGAGCCTCTGCATTGCACATTCCCCCGGCATCATTTACTCTGTGTCCTATGGGAATCCACCCTCTGGTCCTGGCCTCCGTCCGGCATCCTGCCAGGATGGTCTGATGAGCTCCGATCCCGCGTCTGGAGCAGCCTTCCTTTGGCCTGCTCTGAAGCCCGGCAGGCTGGCCCAGGTGAAAGAAAAGAAAAGAGAGTAGTCTTCTTAGTTAGGTGGGAACCAGGGAGTGAGGCAGGAGGAGCCAGGGGGTCTGCACCCAAGCCTCCATTGATGGTGGCAGAGGCAGTAACAAGGGCAAGAACCAATGCCCATGCAGTACTTACTTTGTGCAAGGTGCAGTTACATTCCCCTGGGGTAGGTAGTACCATTAAGCAGATGAGGAAACTGAGGCATAGACAGGTCACTTGCTCAAGGTCACATGACCTGGAAATGGTAGGATTTGAACTCAGGTGACTTGACTCCAGGGTCACTTTTCTTTAAAAAAATTTTTTTTATTTTTATTGATTTCAGATAGGAAGGGAGAAAGAGAGGGGGGAGGGGAGAGAGAGAGAGAGAGAAACATCAGTGATGAGAGAATCATTGATCAGCTGCCTCCTGCATGCCCCACTCTGGGGATTGAGCCAGCAACCTGAGCATGTGCCCTGACTGGGAATTGAACCATGACCTTCTGGTTTATAGGTCCATAATCAACCATTGAGCCACACCGGCCAGGCCAGGGTCCCTTTTCTTAATCAATACACCCTCCTGGCAAATATCTTACTTTCTGGGCCTCACTTTCTACATCTGTGTGGGGAAGACAATGAACTACTACTGCCATTACTACCACTACCACCACCATCCCTGCTGCTACTACTACCACTATTACTATCACAACTGCTACCACTCCTGCTGCTACTATTACTGCACTACTAGCTAATATCTTGGGGTTTACTATGTTCCCAACACGGTGCTAAGCTCTTCACATACATTATTTCAGTTAAGCCTCTCAATAATCCTATGACGTGAGTATTTGTTGATCATCCCCACTTACAGACAAGGAAACCAAGGCTCATGTTCGTTGGGAAACACGGCCAAGGATATTCTACCCCAAGTGCTGGAGAGAGGACTAGATCTAGGCAGTCTGACTCCAAAACCCACACTCTTCCTTACAGGGTTTTGTTCCCTCTAAACACCAACTGAGGCTGGGGCCTTCTGGAGTTTGGAATCCCCACATATAATGACAGATGTGGGGGTTTCAGCAAGCCCCTGGGATCTTTCTCTCTCACACCCAGGGCCCCTCTTAAGCTCTCATCAGCTCCCCACATCTGTATGGCATTTCTAGGATCTCCCCGCAACTTTCCCTCCTGGAGTTGCCACCAGCAGGCCCTAAACCTGGCTGCAAGGCCTCAGTCTTACCAGCACTCCTTCCTGCCCCAGGACAAACCCCTGGGCCCTTTGCAGTGTGAGGGTATCCAGGCACCTCACAAAGCTTATGGTGTTCCCAGGCCTGACGGAGGCCCTCATCTCTGGTTCTGACGCCCCCCGCCCCCCCCGGCCCAAGGTGGGGACGAGACGGACAAGATGGGGCTGCTTCCACTCCTGTGGGGATGGGGATGCTGGCTGGCCAAGCTCTTGGTTCCGTCTCAGACCTCATGGCCTTGACCTTCCCCAGTCAGACAATGATGCTCAGGCAGAATCTTGGGCCTCTCTAGGATCTGCAGATAAAGAAATCAAAACCCCAAATTCAAGAAGCAGCAGCAACACACATTGTCTTCCTGGAAATTCCTGCCTTTTCAAAGACCCTGGATTGGTGTGGGCTCTCAGAGGACAGGCTCTCTGTGGCTGGGGGGAGAGGGGTACCTCATAATTTTAAAGATGAAGACAGTGAGATGCAGAGAAGTGGTGACTAGCTCAAGGGCATACACCTCATTAGAGGAGGATCTGAGACTCAAAATCAGTGACTTCTCCGGGCAGAGAAGCCAGGGATGTGTGTAGCAGGTAGTTTTATGCTCAGCAGAAGCTCTGGTTTTTGGTATTTTCTTTTTTTAATCACCCTAGGTGATTTGAGCCAGAGCCGAAGACGCTGAGAGTTTGGGGTCACTCATAGGAATATCTCCCTTGGCAAGGGTGTGGGGGGGGGTACTCAAATTTGATTGTTCCCCTGAATCCTCTGGGATCTTATTAAAGTGCAGATTCTGATTAAGCACATCAGGCAGGGCTGAGACTCTGTGCTTCTAACAGTTCCCAGGGGATGCTGCTGCTGCTGGTCCAGGGACCACACTTTGAGTAGCTGGGCCTTGGGAGACTCCGGAGGCCTTGGAAGGGACTGGGGTCGGAGTTGGGAGGAGGGCTGGAAAGCTTTAGCCAGCTTAGCAGAGAGTGTTGCTGAGGTTTGAGTTGAAGTTGGAGCAGAGTGGCTCCAGAGGGGGTGGGCTTCTCACCAGCTACCCGAGAGGTCTGGGCATGGGCCTTGCTCTGCCCTCCAGTCCCCGGAGTTCTCAGTTTCCTGACTTGCACGTGATTTTCCAGCATGAGTCTCTGCCAAACTCGAGTTTCGACATTGGAAACTCGAAGTTGGGTGAGTCTGCAGATTGTCAGAACCAACGTGTGTGGACACCCTCGTGCCCCAGCAGGGGGCTGCCCCAGAATGCTGCCAATCCCCACTCCCCGCTGGGGGTCCTCAGCCCCTGTTACTTCCCTCCCGGGCCCTCCCACCCTGCAGCTCCCTGGCCATCCCCTGACCCACGCACACAGGCTGGCACTTCTCCTGGAGGAATTGCCAGTGGGCGTCAGCCTTTCCCACTTGAAGTCGGCTTGTCCACTGAAGGGCTGTGTGCTAATTAGCTGGGCTCTGTGCTGCTTGCTTGTTGCTGTTTCTCTGCTAATGAGTCTAACGAGAACCACGTGGGCAATGGGCGTTGGCTCTGGATGGCTGGGTCCCGAACTCTGTAGAATGTAGGGCTCTTGGCTGCACACCCTGTCAGCTGGCTCTCCTACCTCCCCCAACGGTTTGCCGGCTCCCTCTCCCCTCCCCACAGCTGCCCCTCTGGCTGGAGCGGAGACTGCCGATGCCGGGGAATGCTCATGACTGTCCTAGAAGTCTCACAGATGTGGGGTGACTCGTTGGACAGCAGGTGGGAGGGCTGACAAGGACGGGTGTGTGACATCCTCCCAGCCCCAAAACCGTGTGGAGACTTAGTCTGTCCTCTGGTGTTTCCCAGATATTTGTGGGTCCAACTACTGCCTATGCACAGGAGATGATGGCCCGAGCCCCTGGGGCCACTCCCTGCCCCCTCTTGCCTCCTCTCACAGAACCTGAAGTTGCTGTAACATACCAGCCCATCTCCCTGGCGGGCCCCTTCCGTCACCCCTGCCCAGTCACTGGACTTCGGAGAGCCACTGTATATGTAGGTGGCCATTGCTGGAGCTACAGCTATTCCCTCCACCTTGGCGGAGTCCTCTCATCTCGGTATCTACCTGTCCTTCTGTGGCTTTGCCAGCTCTGCCATGCGGGTTATGTATTTATGCATTTGTGAAGGGTGAGGACTGGGGCCTGCCTGGCCCACGCAACTGAGGGGAAGGACTGTAGAGTGGGGGGTGAGTGGGTCCTGTGTATAATTAGGGCTTTTGGAAGATTGTCCAGTCTTCCCAGACTGGCCCATCCTCATCACCTCATTTATCTCAGCCTAGCTGCCCAAGGGCAGGGGCTGTCCTAGGGGATGGGGAAGCGAGGGGGAGTCCCTGTTGTTGAGAAGGGGCCTAGCTGGATCACTCCTTCCAAACCCCGGGTTTAATATGAAGAGCATGTGCTTAGAATTTTGGTGCCAGATCCAAGGAGTGGTGGGTTTGAAGCCCAGCTCCGTGTCCTCAGGCAAGTGACTGGCCCTCGTTTGCCAAAGAGCCTCATCCATACAATGGGTTTAGTAACCTATATGGAGTTGTTTGGGGGAGATTATTAATAGTAATAATAATAATTATTATTGTAACTCTGTAGCTCTTACTGTGGGCCAGGACTTCATGTTATTAATTTTTAATCCTCACAACAACCCTATAAACTAGATTTGATCTTTGTTCCCATTTACATTTGAGGTTAGCTATTTGTCCCAGTCTTGCAGCTGGGAAGCAGCAGAGCCTGTAGGTTTAGCTGTTGTCTTCATCTGGACCCAGGAGACTGTGCTGCCTGTCTGGGTTACCTTAGCTACGTGGCTACAGGCAAGATGCTCAAGCTCTCTGTGCCTCGGTTTTCTCCCCTGTATAATGCGACTAACATTAGTCTCTACCTCGCATAGTTGTAAGGAACGTATGAGGTAACTCACGCCGAATGTTCAGTTCAAGGCCTGGCGTGTTCTGTGTGCTCTATCCACCCTTGGCCTTGATGTTGAGAACAGGGACTGTGTCTCCTGGCTCCCAGCATGCCGCTCAGTAGCAAGTGTTCACTGGACACAAAGTAAAAGCTCAGTAAGTATGTACTGAATAATACAGGGCCTAGCCTGGGTCTGTGCTGGGGCTGTTCTAGCCCTTCTGCAGCCCCAAGTCTATCAGCCCTTCCAGAGCACTCCCCACGGTGCTCAGGAGTCCCTTGGCGGATCCTGGAGTGGCCTGGGCATTTGCTCCTGCCTCCTTGGTCCAGAGCCTCTGCGTGGGTTTCATTCTGGTCCACATCTCAGTGCTACAAGGACTCCAACCCTCCTGATCTGGGCTTCACCTTGACTTCACTGAGGGAGCTTCTCAGCCCACCTATCCCAGCCCTGTAATGACCTCAACCCAA